TCTCTCTCTCTCTCTCTCTCTCTCTCTCTCTCTCTCTCTCTCTCTCTCTCTTTCTTCGTTTCTCTCTCTTTCGCTCTCTATTTCTATCTATCTATCAGTCTATCTATCTCTATCTCTCTCGCGTTACTGCAGAGGGTCTTGTTAAAAACTGATGCTTTGACACAAGTAAAGATAATTCAACGACCTTTCCTGATACTCAAACCCTCCAAAATCTGTAACTATTTAAGCTGAAAGTGACACTAATGAGGTCATACACTCTCACACAAGCACACTTGGCGCACCCGATAGAGAAAATTCGTTCGCTGTCTGTTCTATGAGTCAGTATGTTAGAAGGGCACACATCGAAATAATTCATTATCCATGCCACTCCAGGCACAAAGGTGGGCGGGTAAAAAGTTTAGCTGTTTGAGTAAAGCTAAGCGTGCTAGTTTGTCACAGGCCAAGTTCGTCATAGGCCTAGTTTGCCACAGGCCTCGACGGTGCCCGGCAAGATGGAAGTTATCACTGACACTTCAAAAAAGAGTAAGCAACACAATAAGGTCATATAGGTGCTGAAGATAAGAGGTGTTACGAGAGAGTAACAAACACAAAATAGAAGGAGGGGAGAAAGGGACGACAGATGTTTGATAGGAAAGAAGGAGCAAACCACACCAGAGCACCTGCCAACCTCCCGCTGTTTTCTACTTAATGGTCTTCCAATCCGGTACCACCCACAATAGTCAACGTATTTTATACAGGCTTCTTGGGATGGTCAATAGCCGCATTAAAAATCTAAATAAATAAATAAAAAATAACATAAATAATAATGTTATTGATCCCAGAAGGGCAATTTGGTTTACAATGGCAAACATACATACACACATATAAATAAATAATTATAAATACCCACATAAATACATACACATATACATACATAACTGCATGATATTACACTAATACAGAACATGTCATTGCTGGTCGCCACTGTGCGGCGCCCAGTATTTTGAGCTAGGGTTGTCGTGTCTTACTCAAGGGCACACCCCAGTGACCACCCACCTAAACCCTGTGTCAACGACACTTACTTGACTTTATGCTTGAGTCTAAACTCACTACTCATTTAGCCACTGGAGCCCCCGCCAGAAAACCCTAAGAGTGGCTCTGTAAGTCTGACCTGTAGCTCGCCTAGCTAGCACCGTGCAAATGAACGTAGCGTGTGCCTGAGCAGCGTCGCTGTATGGTCTGTCTGTTGTCAGCTGAGCTGCACGACGCGTCAGACGAGCTATTCAACAATGTTGTAAAACACGTCGGACATGTGTCACACGCAGCTTCGCTTCGTTTATATTTTCGACTGAATTTCTTCACAGATCATCAAAATCAGCAAGAAGTAAGTATTATTAGGTGCTTTACTATTAGATATAGATGCTAGCATCAACACTTGACCACAAAATCCCAAGAAATGCACGTTATCCTGCATTAAAATTTCGAATCGAGAGGTCGATCTAATTTCGACTGTTTGTTTACATTCGTAGGCCTGTGTGCTTCTATCCTAGTGCGGCTGTGCTGACACGCAGAGGGTCTCCACTCAGACACAAAAGTCAACGCACAGTAAGGCTGTGCTGACACACAGAGGGCGCTCACTCACACACAGAAGCCAACGCACAGTACGGCTGTGCTGACATGCAGAGGGCGTGCGTTTGGCGAGCTAAAGGTCAGACCTATAGAGCCACTCTGGGACCGGCCTAACCCACCTTGTCCAACTGACACAGCACGGGTATATCGCGGTCAGTGAGGTAGAACGAATTATCGCAGTACACCGTCAAGTGAACTGGCACCAAGAACAAGTGGTGCGATTTGAAAAAAAAACAGTCGCATGGTGAAAATTTCATTTACTTTTTGAGGAGCACTCAGTTCTGAACAATCTGCTCTTTATTTGATTAAAAACTATATCTCTGTTCCAAAGTTATGCATGTTTGAAGTTGGTTAGGTTCTTTTTCTTTCTCTCCCTCTCCTTCTTTCTCTCTCCTATCCAACTCTCATCTCTCTCTCTCTCCTATCCAACTCTCATCTCTCTCTCTTTCTATCTCTCTCTCTCTCTCTCTCTCTCTCTCTCTCTCTTTCTCTCTCTATCTCTCTCTATCTATCTATCTATCTTTCACTCTCTCTATCTATATATATATATATATCCATCTCTCTTCATATCTATCTATTTATCGATCTCTATCTATCTATCTATCTATCTGTCTATCTATCTATCTATCTATCTATCTATCTATCTATCTAT